AACAGAAGAATGATATGATAATACCTTTTTATATAATACCTACCAAGTATCAGGTGCTGAAAATATTTTGGCACTTGTTTCTTTCCATGTCTGTCATGAATGCAGACGCTGGATACTTGCCCCAGCACATTAAATGGAAAGGTAAATGAAACTGACCTGCTTTCCTCTCGCCCTTTCTTTCATTATAACAAGATAATTTAAGATATGAGTACAGGGCTATGGTTTCGTTTTCTGTGATCTTTGAATATTCCCTGTGTAGACCGCATCACAGGTAGGTGAAGGCAAAACGGACCTGATCCTTTTGATAACCTGTTTTTAAAATGCTCTGTGTGTGCTAGATGATTCTATACATTCTGACATATTGCATAGAATGAGAGTTGCTTATTGAAATGTGTATTTGAGTCTTTGCCTTATGTTTTTTTTTTTTTGCAAGAGAATAGTGTCCTGCACTATAACTCATGTCTGTAACAAAAAGCCTGAATTATTTTACAAAGCTGCCCAGGACAATTGTTTTTATACGTGGTGTACAATAAGGCCTCACTTAATATCACCCATGGGTTCTTGTAAACTATGACTTTAAACAAAGTAACTATAATGAAAAACCAATCTTTTTCATCAGTGTTATAAAGAAAGGATGTTGAAGGAAATGACATTATTCAAGGACCTGCCATACATCATTTTGCTTAAAATCACAGTTTTTGGCTGGGCGCGATGGCTCAAGCCTGTAATCCCAGCACTTTGGGAGGCCGAGGCGGGTGCATCACGAGGTCAAGAGATCGAGACCATCCTGGTCAACATGGTGAAACCCCGTCTCTACTAAAAATACAAAAACTTAGCTGAGCATGGTGACCCGTGCCTGTAATCCCAGGTACTCAGGATGCCGAGGCAGGAGAATTGCTTGAACCCAGGAAGCGGAGGCTGCGGTAAGCTGAGATCACGCCATTGCACTCCAGCCTGGGTAACAAGCGAAATTCCGTCTCAAAAAAAAAAAAAAAAAAATTACAGTTTTTTTAAGAACTATCAACAACATTGAATACTTACTGTATTGTCTGAAATGATGTACGTTTGTGATTTTTAAGCTTTCTAAAAACTTTTGTGGAACTCTGTTTATAAACTATATGTATTAGTTCATTCTCACACTGCCATGAATAAATACCCAAGACTGGGTAATTTATAGGGAAAAAGAGGTTTAATGGACTCATAGTTCCACATGGCTGGGGAGACCTCAATCATGGCAGAAGGCAAAGGAGGAGCAAAGGCATGTCTTACATAGTGGCAGCAGGCAAGAGAGCATGTGAAGGGGAATTGCCCTTTATAAAACCATCAGATCTCGGAAGACTTGGTCACTATCATGAGAACAGCATGGGAAAAACCCACCCCCATCCATCAGTTACCTCCCACTGGCTCCCCTCCCATGACATGGGGATTATGGAGCTACAGTTCAAGATGCAGTTTAGGTGGGGACACAGCCAAACCCATCACTATATGTTACTCAGAAGCTCAGTAGTAAAAAAAGATGAAGCCAAAACTGCTCCGTTTGCCGTAAGGTCCAAGAACACCACTCAGTTCCACACCCCCCCACTGCCAGCCAGATGCATTCTAGGGAGCCATTTGAAATATCTGGTCTAGGTAACATCTTGTTTAAAGTTACATTTTCGGTTTCATAGTAAGGTTGTGTATACTGGAGGTGTATCATCATAGCTACGTTTAATTTTTATACTGAGCTTAAAAACTAGACTTCTCTCATGTTGTTTAATCTTTTCAGCACAAACACGTATTGATATTAAAATGTATTAAGGTTTAAGAGACATAATATAACAATAACTAAAAGGGAGTTAAACACTGCCAGCAAAGCAGAATACGTCTCATTTGCAGAGTTCACCATTAGGAGTCTGATAATTATTATCTTACAGGCAGAGTGTTTTGAATGCCATGTTTGCGCATATATACGTTCCTTCCTTGTGTTTACTTTAGTTCAGTGGTTGGTGGACCTCAGTGTGCGTAATACTTTATGGGGTTTCATGTACAAAACCATGTGGACTGATTTTTATAGCGTACTTGATTACCAAGGATAATTTTGATTGAGTAATTTTCAGATTTTGTTTTATGTGCTCAACTAAAACTTAATATCTAAAATAAAATGGACCTTGCCATATATCTTCTAAAAAATATACAATGGTTAAGAAGAACATTGACACACATATACACACACACATACATAAATACATATGTCTGTGTGTCTGTGTCTGTGTGTGTGTGTGTGTGTGTGTATGTATGAAATTTGGGTTTTACTGAACTTTGATCTTCATTAAGGGCTACATTGGTGATGAGCTTTATGAAATAAGGTTTTTAAGCTACCCCTTTTATACTTTAAAATTCTTTGCATAATCTTTGTAATATCAGTATTTACTAATATGGAGTATTTGTTCTTTTAAGTTGTTTACCATTTTGCAGTCACATTTTTGGAGGGTTATATAAAATACATTAAGCACCTGTAGTTTATACATTCTAAATTCTATTTTAAGATACAAATCATAGCTTCAGCCCTAAAGTTATTTAGAATCTACTTAAGACAACATGCCAAACACATACAGAACAGCTAGAAAACATGACTAACGAAGGCAAGATGTACTACAGAACACCTCTGTCTATAGAGGATGTGATAAATGTAGATTAGGAGATGTGCTACAGAGCACCTCTATAGAGGACGTGATAAATGTAGATAAGGAGATGTGCTACAGAGCACCTCTATAGAGGACATGATAAAAGTAGATTAGAAGATGTGCTACAGAGCACCTCTATAGAGGACATGATAAAAGTAGATTAGAAGATGTGCTACAGAGCACCTCTATAGAGGACATGATAAATGTAGATTAGAAGATGTGCTACAGAGCACCTCTATAGAGGATGTGATAAATGTAGATTAGAAGATGTGCTACAGAGCACCTCTATAGAGGACGTGATAAAAGTAGATTAGAAGATGTGCTACAGAGCACCTCTATAGAGGACCTGATAAATGTAGATTAGATGTGCTACAGAGCACCTCTATAGAGGACATGATAAATGTAGATTAGAAGATGTGCTACAGAGCACCTCTATAGAGGACGTGATAAATGTAGATTAGCCAAAGAATTCGAAACCAGGCCGGGCGCGGTGGCGCAAGCCTGTAATCCCAGCACTTTGGGAGGCCGAGGCGGGTGGATCACGAGGTCAACAGATCAAGACCATCCTGGTCAACATGGTGAAACCCCATCTCTACTAAAAATTATAAAAAATTAGCTGGGCACGGTGGCGCGTGCCTGTTATCCCAGCTACTCAGGAGGCTGAGGCAGGAGAATTGCCTGAACCCAGGAGGCGGAGGTTGCTGTGAGCCGAGATCGCGCCATTGCACTCCAGCCTGGGTAACAAGAGCGAAACTCTGCCTCAAAAAAAGAATTCGAAACCATCATCCTGAAATTTTTCAAAGTAATAGATTTTTTATTTCTTAATAGGCAATTAAACAGTATAGTGTTCATGCCTCTGGTATGTTTAACAATTATTTTCTCAAAATTTAGTAGTCTTTTAACCAGACAATGTTTAATTTCTATCTGGGGGGTACCTACAAGCCAAAAAGCAAGTTTAGAATGCTGCCTCAAAGACTTAGGTAAACAGCCAAAAAGAATACCCCTAGGTCCTTATAGGAAAAGATTTAATTCATTTTACTCATGGAAGAATATTTTATGTGCTTACTCAGCAATTAATAGTGCATTTGAACGTGCTTGGTGAGCTGTCATTTACCCACAGATTAGAGGTAGCAAGTAATTGGCAAGGAACTGCCTGAGAGTAGAAGAGTAGCAGAATCAAGGACTGACAACTGATAGCAAGGGGGAGGCACTGTTCGAAATAGAACTTAAATGAGTAACGTTCTAGGTCCTTTTAGCAGGAGGACAAGCAAACGTCACCAGACCTTGAGAGTTTAAATGATAATGATGACAGTGCTGTAAGCCGTGAAATGTTAAATTAGGTTATTTGCACTTTATTTTTAGAAAGCAGGAAATATCTTAATACATTCTCATAAGCATCCATTACATTCATGTATGCCAGGTTATGTTAAACTTTTTACCTATATTATCTAATTTAAAGAAACCTGGGAGGTAGGTTTTATTACGTGTATGTTACATATGAGAAAATTGTAACTGAGTTTAAGCAAGACAAACTCACAGCTAATGAGTAGTGGAGTCAGGACTTTGAACCTATTTCTGACCAACTGTAAAAGTGCATGCCTTTAGCTATCACATGCAAAGCAAATTACTCTCAGCTTCACAACAGCTACCCTGTGCTTTAAGTCAACCATTATTATCCCCATTTGAGACTCGGAAAAGTTAAGTCTCTTAAATAAGATAGATACTGTTGTTGTTAGTGTTATTTTCTTTTCCTTGCCTAGAAAATGTACTCATAAGCAACATTTCCAGTACTGGATAAATTAGGTTTTACCCAAATAATTTTAGGAGAATGGCTAGGTGCGGTGGCTCACATCTGTAATCCTAGCACTCTGGGAGGCCGAGGCAGCCAGATCACAAGGTCGAGAGATTGAGACCATCCTGGCCAACATGGTGAAACCCCATCTCTACTAAATATACAAAAATTAGCTGGGCATGGTGGCACGTGCCTGTAGTCCCAGCTACTCCGGAGGCTGAGGCAGGAGGATTGCTTGGATATGGGAGGCAGAGGTTGCAGTGAGCCAAGATCACACCACTGCACTCCAGCCTCGAGACAGAGCAAGACTCAGTCTCAAAAAAAAAAAAATAATAATAATAATAATCGACTTTAATTTTTGTTTACAACATAGGCTTACAGCCAAGGTTTTCCCATGGGTTTTTTCCTCAAAGCGAAATAACTATGAGATATAGAGAGTTTTGAGATCCTCTGTAAAGGTAAAAGATATTAAAGCATTTGCTATTTCAGGTATTGTTCTAGTACTTTGTAGGCATTAACTCATTTCATCCTTATATTTGCTCTAGCCCTGTTTTACAGTGAGGAAACTGAAGCGCCAAGAGGATGAAAATTTGATCAAGCTCACGCAATCTGATGCTGAAATTAAAATCCAGCAGTGGGCTGGGTGCAGTGACTCACACCGGTAATCCTAGCACTTTGGGAGGCTGAGGGAGACAGATCAGGAGGTCAGGAGTTTAAGACCAGCCTGGACAGCATGATGAAACCCCATCTCTACTAAAATACAAAAAGTAGCCTGGTGTGTTGGTGCACACCTATAATCCCAGCTACTCAGGAGGCTCGGGCAGGAGAATCCCTTAAACCTGGGAGGCATAGGTTGCAGTGAGCAGAGATCGTGCTACTGCACTCCAGCCTGGGTGACAGAGCAAGACTCCTTGGAAAAAAAAAGTCCAGCAGTGTCCCTCTGGAATCCAAATACATGCCTGCTACGTTATATTTACTGCCTTCCCCCAGAATAACTTAAAAGCATACGTTTTCAAACTTACAGTATTGTCTGCAGGCTCTCAGTCCCCTAACCTGTATATTGTTTTGTTTTTTAAATGAGTTGGGAATAAGGACTGACATTACACAGGACTGAAGGAAAACACATGTAACATTGAATCAATTGGAATTAAGTGAAAAGGTGTCATTTCATATGTGTCCACAAGATGGTGAAATTCTCATTAGGTTTTAATTTCTTGAAACCCATATAAACTATTAATTTATAATCTGCATTTGGCGCTATTTATTATAAGCACTTTAATTTCTTTCTACAGCGCATCTGCTGGCAAGGCTAGGATTCGAGCAGCTTATAGGAGAACCATGATTTTTGAATCACCCAGATAAAGGTAGGTAGAATTCGTATTTTTTATAATATGTGTATCAAAATATACCATGAATTCCTTTCAAATTAGAGTCATTATAAATGCTATGTAGTTGAGATGGAAGTTTGTGTGCCACATGTGTTGTGATAGCATTTAGGTTAAAGTTGAGTGTGATTCAACACATCGTGTGGATTTATATTATATGCTTTCAGGAACTTAGTTGCTGATTTTGATGTATGACTCCCTGAACCCATCTGATGTACCAACCATTTTGATCAAGAAAAATAAAAAACATGAGTTATGGACTCTTTGGTTGTATAAAGTGATTTGGGTATCACAAATTATATTTATTTAACCTTAGATGTAAACCCACAAGAGTTAGAGGATTTCCTCCCAATCTCTGAATGTAATACGCCGTAGATGATTCTGAATTTCTTAATTTTATTCTGGAGGACTGTGAGGCTGAGCCGTTGGTTTTTTAACTGGCCAGGTTTTTAATGTAAATTTATCTTACAGAAAAACAATTATTATAACTTTAACTACACTACAGCTGCTTGAGAGAGAAAGCCCATATGTTCATTGCTGTTTCTGCTTTGAAATAACAGATGGTAGAAAGTTACACTGTATTTCAGAAGTCAAGGGGGGGTAGGAGAGTGAAGGGTTTCTTGGATTCTTATTTACAGACTTTCAGTTTTCTAATTATTTTTTTAAAAAAATTAAAAACAAATTTTGGATTCCTCTCCATCCTAACCGACACCAAAATAAGGCATTCTTTTTCAGCCTCTCACTTCCTTACTATAAAAACTCTTTTCGCTGAGCATCATCTCTTGGTTTTCGCACTTACTGTTCTTTAGCATGAATAAACATGAGAATAAACTTTGAAAAGAGGTTTTGCTGAGAATTTCTAAACAGTTTCAACAGTTATTGAAAGATTCACTCAGCTAATTTACTTTGCATTGTGGGCTTTTGGAGTAATTGGCGGAGAAAGAAACGTGTTGAAGTGCCTCCTTAAAGCCCTCTGTTTCCTAAGCAGTCCCTGTTCCTTCCAGGTCAAGTGAATACCTTCTCTGATTGATTGCAGTAGGGTCAAGCACTCCTGTCTGTCTTTCAGATGACTGACAAGTTGTTGATTGTGCCTGCTGGCAAGGAAGCAGGTTCTAAAATGTATCTAACAATATGTATTTTTAGATAGTTGTAGTAAAAAAAGAAAATGTTTGTCTCTCTTGCGAGCCAGTAGTGTTTAAGGAATTACTTGATTTATTCTGAGATGCTCTATTTATTCGAGGTGAGATTGTTGACTCTAGTGGGCTTACTAATATCCTTTGGTCTGGCCCTGTGTGGGTAGCTGGGTGTGGAAGAATGGACTTGGGAGCAAGGGGTCAGCATGTTTCTCTGGCTTCTACCTTCCAGCCAGCATGGTGGCCTTAAACGTGCCTTTAACCTCTCCAAATATGAGCTTATTATTTACAGAATGTAGGGATTTATTTCTAAAGTCCTTTTTGTTTACATGATTTAATAACCTTTTATACCTATTCAATAATGTAAAGACTGCACCTTATGTCTCTGTTCAGATCACATTTTTTTTTCTTTTTTTTGAGACAGTGTCTCACTCTGTCACCCAGGCTAGAGTGTGGTGACACAGTCTCAGCTCCCTGCAACCTCTGCCCCTTGGGTTCAAGCAATTCTCCTGCCTTAGCTTCCCAAGTAGCAGGGATTATGGGTGTGCACCACACACCCGGCTCATTTTTCTATTTTCAGTAGAGACAGGGTTTCACCATGTTGGTCAGGCTGGTCTCAAACTCCTGGCCTCGTGATCCGTCCACCTCAGCCTCCCAAAGTGATAGGATTACAGGGGCAAGCCACTGCGCCCAGCCCAGATCACATTTTTAACTTAAGAAAGATACTTTTAATTGTTTTGGATTATTGTACTCTCTAAGAATATATTGACAACTGTGGACCTTTTTTTCCATATAACTGTTCATTCACCCAAAGTTTAAAAACACTTGGAGTTTGAGAAAGTTCATGCGCTTCCTAAAACCCATCCATCTACTTAACAGTTTAAGAACTCCAGTTAAGGAATGTGGGAACTTCTGTTTTTGAAGAAGTGGGAGATGGTAGCTTATGCATCTGAAAATTATCTTTTGAGAAGGAAAGTTGTTTTGTTTTCAATGGGAAGTTAAAAGATTTTAAACAAAAATGCCTCACTGCCTTTGGAAAGGGAAATGCAAGAGTATCTGGGGAAGTATGAGAATGGGCAGCTTTTAACTTTGTTTCTTCTTTTTAGAATCGTTGAGCATGTTTACTTTGGCCAGGTCACCACTGGGTATTGTTGGTAGCTGGAAACACTTAAATCTCATTTCTAGTGCTTCTGAATTCATGAATAGGTTTCCTCACCCCACCCCACACCCAAGCAACTTTTCTGTTGGTTTTGCTACCAGCTGATAGAACAAATTTGTAATCTCAAATGTTGGACCAACTGTAATTTGTTATACATTTCATTATCAGCTGTGCAAAGAAAGTGACACCAGAAAATTAGGTGTGGGAAATGGCTGAAAATAAATGTTTTGTAATTAGTTTAAAATGAGTATTTAGATGTATTTTGGTAAAAAGGAAATTTTGCTTTTTCAATATAGTGAGATAAAAAATTGATGCAGTAAAACCATCTTAGGTCCTTGATCTAATACTTTCAAGAAGGCTAATATCTTTTCGATTACTGCTTTTCTTTCTTTTTTTTTTTTTTTTTTTGAGACGGAGTTTCGCTCTTGTTACCCAGGCTGGAGTGCAATGGCGCGATCTCGGCTCACCGCAACCTGCGCCTCCTGGGTTCAGGCAATTCTACTGCCTCAGCCTCCCGAGTAGTTGGGATTACAGGCACGCGCCACCACGCCCAGCTAATTTTTGTATTTTTAGTAGAGATGGGGTTTCACCATGTTGACCAGGATGGTCTCGATCTCTTGACCTCATGATCCACCTGCCTCGGCCTCCCAAAGTGCTGGGATTACAGGCATGAGCCACCACGCCTGGCCGGATTACTGGTTTTCTTAAATTGATGAAGAAAGAGGTTGGTGGTTATGAAATCGGTAGTTTTATAGTGATGCATAGAAGGGGAGAGGACAGCTTGCTCAGAGGTTTCTGAAAGCCTATCCAATGCAGTCTTAATCAATGTGTATTTTGCCTGTTCTTGCCAGGCCACTTTGTGCAAGTTAAAAACAGGAATCAAAAGTAAACATTTAGAAAGTTTTATAACATCACCATGATAATCAAATGTGTGATACGTTTGTACTATGTATAAGTATTGGTCCACTACAGATTGGAAATTTTTAAAAAATTTAAAAGTACTCCTTTGCCGTAGTTTGAGAGGCACTGATCTAATCAATGCTGCTTCCTACACAAACTGCTGGGCCCCAGCCCCAGGTTTTCTGATAAGTATGTCTAGAGTGGAACCCAAGAGTTTGCATTTCTAACAAAAGCCCAGGGGAAGCTGCTGACAGTGTAGGGACCACATCTTTAGAAATGCTGATATAATGTAATACATCAACATTTGGATGATATGTAACTCTCAGTGAAGCCGTATTTCCCAAATGACCAATGGATTATGTTACAAAATCATAGATGGCAAAATAATAATATAATAATCATAATTCAAAGTAAAAGACCAACAGATTTTAATATAATAGACTTTGAAAGTTCATTGGCATGGTTTCAGGTTCTACCATGCAACTAATCTTTAAGAAACTACCACTTGTTGAGTTTTGGGTCAGCAGCAATGAAGAATATCTTCAATTATCTGAAAAGATGAATAAAATACTCTTTCCTTTCCCAACTACCCATTTATGTGACGTTGTATTTTCTTCATACATTTAAACAAAACAACATATCACAAGAGAATGAATGAAGAGGTTGATCCAAGTATCAGGGTATTTTCTGTTGAGCCAGACATTACAATAGATGTGGCATGCACCTGTAATCCCAGCTACTTGGGAGGCTGAGGCAGGAGAATTGCTTAAGCTCGGAAGATGGAGGTTGTGTTTTACGAAGCCCTCAAGTTGATTCTAATGTACACTAATGTTTGAGAACCACTGCTATAAGGGTTCCAGCTGGGTTTCTGGGGTGTTCAGTGGGGTTCCTATGCCTGGCATGTTCTGATCTCTAATCACAGTCTCCTTAGCCTTTTGAAACTTCCAAAAACTTTACTGTGCTTTTCAGAAGCTTCTACTTTGTTCTACTCTGTGTAAGTTCAGAATTTGGGATGTGTGTATGTGTGTGTGTGTGTGTGTGTGTGTGTATGTATGTAAAACACCCAACTGTGTATCATGCTCTATTTTCAAGCTTGCCTTTGTCAGGTTGTGTGTGTTTATGTGTAAAACACCCAACTGTGTATCTGTATCATGCTCTTTTTTTTTTTTTTTTTTTTTTTTTTTGAGACGGAGTTTCGCTCTTGTTACCCAGGCCGGAGTGCAGTGGCGCGATCTCAGTTCAGCGCAACCTCCGCCTCCTGGGTTCAGGCAATTCTCCTGCCTCAGCCTCCTGAGTAGCAGGGATTACAGGCACGCGCCACCATGCCCAGCTAATTTTTTGTATTTTTAGTAGAGATGGGGTTTCACCATGTTGACCAGGATGGTCTCGATCTCTTGACCTCGGGATCCACCCGCCTCGGCCTCCCAAAGTGTTGGGATTACAGGTGTGAGCCACCACACCTGGCCTCATGTTCTGTTTTCAAGCTTGCCTTTGTCAGTTGGATCCTAAATCTTTCAGTCTACAATTTTTGTCTTAGCAGTGTGTCCTTTGCCCATACTTTTAATTTCTCGCCTTACACCAGGAATCATCAGTACTCCAAGGGAAAAAGCAGTTTCAGAATGTCATTTTACCTCTCCCCTTCCAGAATCCTCCCCTTCAGAATCTTTGGACCCTCAAGTCATGGTTTTCTTAGCAGTTTCTCTATAACACTAATTCAACAGGTAGGGTTTTTTGGTGGTGGCTTTATTTTTGTGATGAATTTTGTCTGGCTTTTTAAAGTTGTTTTC